TAGTAAGGGCAGCAAAATATACTAGTAAGAGCTAATAGCACGTATGGCATCAATGGGGTAAATACCTAGGGAAAGAAGTACATGCGGCGTTCGTTGGAGGAGTGCAGTGACCGAGAAGGAACGCAAGCTTGTATTATGGACTAAAGGTAGATAGGTGCAGACCCAGTAGTCACTCTGTATGCAAGCATTAGTGACTTGAATTTGATTCTGGAGGCCACGGGGAGCCAGTGGAGGTCACTGAGTAATGGAGTGACATGAGTCCTTTTGGGCTGATCAAAAACCAGACGCTCTGCTGCGTTCTGAATCATTTGTAGGGGTTTTACAGCACAAGCTTGAAGACCCACTAGGAGGGAATTGCAATAGTTGAGGCGAGATATTACCATGGCCTGTACCAGAAGCTGGGTGGCATACTGAGTGAGGTTGGGCCTGATTTTTCTTATGTTGTATAGAGAAAAGCGGCACAACCAAGAGACAGCAGCAACATGGTCTGAAAAGGACAGCTGGTCATCAATCATGACACCCAAGTTTCTCGCCACCTTGGATGGAGTGATGGTTGCGGAGTCAATTTGTAGTGTGATGTTATGGTGGATAGATTGCTTGGCTGGAATGACCAAGAGTTCAGTCTTAGAGAGGTTTAGTTGAAGGTGGCAAGCCTTCATCCATGCAGATATGTCCGAGAGACAGTCCGTGATCCGTGCCGAGATGGTGGGATCGTCTGGGGGGAAGGATAGGTAGGATCGGACCCAAATTGCCTTTTGTTTCATATTAGTCTATATAATAACAATTTAACTGAATATACAATATGTGTCTGTATAGAGTTGTGTAAGTATTTATTAACCATACTATTTCATTAGTTTAGTGTGATTCTTGTTACAAACAACTAGGATAGTTATTCTTGAAATATCCCACTTTTTAACGACAGATTTGACCAGTGTTGTATTTATATGTAAAAATTGGTGGGACACCAGCCATTTTAAAACATAAGCTACATACCAGTAAACCTACAACACTCTCTCTAGCTACTGGGTTTTTTAACATTGTCAACAATCAGCATGGCTCCACATAACACTTATAGGTTCGGTGTGTAAGATTTAGTGGCATCTAGTGGTGAGGGTTGTGAATTGCAAACATCTGTCCAGTCTACCATTTCAAAGAGCAGAGGACAGTTACGGTGGCTGACACAGCACAAAAGTGTCTCTTCTGAGACAGCAGAGAGTAGCCAGTCAAGAAGTGAGGTTTCATTGGGTAGATATATTAAGAAATTATATTTACTTAATCATTCAGTAAAACCATGTGTTATTGTGACTTGGCCACTGACAGATAACATGGAAAATGTGAGCCAAGAGTGTGAAACATTATCACTGCACCACAGTCCATTACAAACCACACATTAAATAAAGTTTATACAAACATTGAAATGGATACACATTAATTCTCTCTGTGATTATGTACCCTCGCCAAAACTTCAATAATATCTGGACCTCTGCCAGATGGTGCTTTGATAGCAGCAAAAAATATAAATAAATAGCGCGATAGCGATGCTGAAATAGATCTCAGTCATGATAGCAACAGTTACTCACATAATCACTTCCTCTTTAGATGTTTTACGAATAAAATAAAAGCATGAGAAGCTTGTTTACTGTAATGCTGTAGTTGGAATTGAACTGAGCTTTTACTAAACAACTAAATTAAAACACATATATACATTCATACACATAAATTCAGACAGACAATTTTGTATTGCCACTCTAGTTGTCAAGGTTGCAATAAGTGAGCTGAACTCCTCTTGACTTCCATTTGCATAACATAGTTCTCAGCCTAATTAATACATACAATGTATAATTTCTCACTATAAGTTGTAGAATATTTTATCTGACACTTAATACTCACAAATTAGGCAAAACATAAATAGTCCTTAATGAAAGAACACAACTGCATTTTAGTTTCCACTATCTTATATTTAATAAATTGTTGTCCTCAATTCTGAGTTTCGTCATTCAATAATAGACAAATCAATATAACGACATTAAAAGAGTCTGTGGCCTGCTTGACACACCTCTGAAAGAGCCGTCAGAAATGTGATTCCCCTGAATGTCCTCTGTCTAGAGATACTGGGGAAATGCAAAAGCGTCCGTAGGTTGATGGATGGTGATCAAACACCGAAAACAAAAACAGTGTAATGTGAGAAACATTCGCTGCAGAATCCATTTGTTGAAGAGACAGGAAAAAAAAGTTGCCCCAAGGTGGGATCAAACCCTCAACCTTTGGATTGTAAGTCCTGCACTTTACCAACCAAACTAACCAAACATGTTGATGTAAGTTAATATTATGCCTGATATTCTCATCCACCATCTAATGATTGAAAATATTGCTCCGATGCAAAACTTATTTGCAGACCCCTGCAGTATATTATTATTACTACTTCTTCTTCTTCTAACGTACGTCTAATGTACATATTCAACATAGTGTTGAATGTCTGCACTGTCTGAATTCTAGAACAAGACAAAAGTAGCAAAACGCTCTCTGTGGCGCTGTTTGTGCGTTTTCAGCTACTGTAGAAACATGACGATGCAACGTGGCGACGTCCATGAGGGGGGTCCATATGTAGATATAAATGGCTCATTATAAGGTAATAAAACATAATGGTTTATTATGAAAAGGTCTTTACTCAACACTGAAAACATACTTATGTTGCATTTCTGTCAATAGATCCTCAGAAATATTACACACTGAACCTTCAAAGACAGAGGGGCTTGCTTCTACCAGGGTGAGTGTGTATTTGTGTGTGTGAGAGAGGGAGAATGAGAGGAGCGCAATTACATAAGTTACAGTACCACTGTCACAAACCCAAATTAAGAATGCAATATTTAAGCTGACACAACCAAGCTCAGAACAAAGAGCCTACAGGACCATATGTGTCAACAGCAGTGAGCTTAACACCACTGAAGGCCACAACGCTCACAGACACCTTTATAGGGATACCGACCCATTCTATAGCCGCTTTTACACAGAGCTCCTGCAATGAACACAGAAAGAATGTCCACCAATACCTCACATTCGCTCATTCATACTGAACAAAATATTGCAGTATAATCCTGGTCGCTACCTTGAAAGAAAAACACACACTCGCTGCAGCAGGCTGACCGGTGTAACTCTGACCTACTCTGCCTGTTAGTCCCGCCCCTTAACCAATCACAAAAGTAGTAAGAGGCCAATTACAATAAACATGATAGTCTGTTACACCAAAAGGTTAATTGATGTAAATTTCGAACAAACTATGGAAAGGTCTCAGAGCTTAATATTACAACACTTACATGCTGCTGTGCACCTTTTAACTCAAACCAGGGGTTACATGATATATGCAGTAGCATTTTATGCACATGCCATTCATCAGAGGGGTGGTCACCAATTTTATTAGGGTAGCCGTCTCTGTCCCTGTCTCTAACTCTTCAGACCTGCCGTCCTCAAGCTGCCCACCAGATGCCCTTGGACTTTCCTTTCTTCTTCACCTGACTGCCATGCTAACTACACACCTGTTCTCACTTCCCTCATCTAAAGTTACCTGGCCCACTCGGCCCACTCCTCACCTGCTGCTCATTCCCTCATCAGCCACTGTACCATATATACCAGTTCACTTCACTTGTTGCCTTGTTGTTGTTTTTTTTGCATGCTAGTATCTACTTGTTACCTGCCTGCCTGTAAGCTAAGCACCTAATAAATCATTCAACTGTACCAATCTGCCTGTTCTATCTGTGTTTTTGTCCAATTCCTGTTGTCCTGCAAAACCCACACATGACAGTATGTGGAACTGAGTCAGAATAAACTACAGTGTGTGTTCATGATAATTAAGGAGTCACCCAATGCAGCAGTGTGGTTTATTAATATGTTTTAAATAGTCTTTGGACAACAATGGAGCTCTATGGTGCAGAGGAATAATATCAGGCTCTAGATACACACACACACACACACACACACACACAGACATATATACTTACGTTACTTCTTAAGGGGATATATTCATTGTTTGTTCACAGTAAGTAAAACATAAAATATATAGCTGGATTTAAAAGGCTTTAAACTGGACTTCAAGGACAGAAGAACACTTTAAAACAACTGATACACCTGTGCTGATAGATACTACTACGGTGTCCCATGCTGATGTGCGCTGATGGAAACACACACACAAAGGAGCATTTCAATCTGGGTCATGTATCCAGACATCCAGAAAAACGATGTGCAGTACATATGTGACAACATAAAGATGTGAGAACATTTTATCCAAAGCTGCTTTCTCAGAAAATACTTGATTACGCCCCATCATAAATAGTTTTTTATACGCCTGTGTGAAAATTGCCTTCTTTTTAAAGTGCAAAAGCGTGACATTACCATCTCCCCAAGTGCTTTCTGTTTTAGCACTGGCTAATTAGATGGGTGATAGGAGTGGCACTGATTGGCATTATAAAAGCTGCACTATCACTCCTCTCTGCCCCCCCCCCCTTCAAAGCTGCCATCTGAGGAATTATTTAAGATAAAAGACACTATGGAAAAATATTCTCCCCTGACAGATATTATCATTACAACCATTTATGGAAAGTGCTAACTTACTTTTTTCCCTTCCTCTCTCTTTCTTTCTTCATCTGTGCCACTCATTCTGTCTCTCTTTCTCGGTCTCCCAGCGGATAGAGAAAGGCAAGGGGAGAGAAAGGAGGAATGGAAGAGAGAGTGAGCTCTGTCAATTGGAGTGAGTGCACTGCTAAGTCTGGCTACACTACAAAGGTTAGCAGATCTGACTGTCAATAGTGTCTTGTGGGTGGGAGGAGGAGGAGGAGGGAGGAGACATGGAGGTGAGGTGGTGGAGGGAGGTGGGGGGGGGGGGTGGTCGCTTTGAGAGAAAGAGATACTTTGATATTTCGGAATGTTAGAAGGGTGAATGTGGAGAACTGGAGGTTGGGGATCTAATTACCGGGCCATAATTGGGGGCTGGGGAATAGGTTGCCGTCCTCTCAACTCGCTGCAGATCAATTATGTTAAGAGAACATCTGTAAGTAGAGCTTAATGAGGTCCATTAGAGCAACATGCGCTGCCTTCCCTAACGGTGCTTGTCAGCTTCTTGGATATGCTGGAGTGTGCTGCTGACTGGGGACCTGGTGGAGAGGCTTAAATAGGAGAGGAGGCACGACTCTCCGCTGCTCTTGCCTGCCAGAGAACCAGAGACACACAGACAGACAGGGGAGGGAGAAGGTGAGGAAGCAGCAACTGGGTTGCCCATGTGAGCCTGGTCCGGGACGCTCAGAGCCGCAGAGGGAGCAGAGTTTTAGGGGTGATCCGACATCCCAACAACTTGAGCGGAGAGCCAACTGTTCTCTAACTCATGTTGCCAGGTTTCTTTAGACAATCTGGAGTTGAACAAGCTCTGAGAAAGTTGCCGCGTGGACACTTTGATTCAAAGTCAAGAGAACAGAGAAGATAAACACCGCCACACCGACCGTGGGCATTTGTTTTGGGCACCTCTGGCTGTACTTCAAGGTATGTGTGTGTTCTGGGTTGTGAATTTAACGCTTTCCGCAGAGCGAGGGCTGCGCGTAAAGTGTCGGGCGAGCTCCGCGAGAAGATATAAACACAGCCAGCATATAGCTGCTGAGGACATAACATCACCATGCATTTGGCTTCCTTCTGCTCATCAGACAGAGTAGTGGTTAAACGAAGCCGCCGCCGGTGTTGAGGATGTGCTGTCGGATTTTGATGCAGGTCCCCGCTGTCATTTTCTGTCTTAATTAGAGACGCAGGCGGAGGGTTGGGGTCAGGTACAAACATAACAAGCTTCTCCTCTGTACGTTTATATAGCAGATGTATGGGGTTGCGTGTTTCCGCTGGATGAAGAGGCTTGATCCGCGGCGTGTAACGTTCTCCTCCTTTCCTCAGCGGTGCACCGTTGCCTTCTGTCTCCGTCTTCCATTCATACGGAGGATGAATAACTGGCGGAACGCAGTGAGTGAAAGGAGGGTGGAAGGGCACCGGGGGAGAGGTGGCAGCCCCGCACACTACACACACTCTGCAGCAAATTGCATGATTACCAAGATAGGCCGCCTTGAAATAATTCAATCCATGACAAAACTTAATTACTGGCAGGTAATACCCTGTCAGCTTTAATGCATCTCATCACTCATAATGGCGCAGAGAGCATTTTATGACCCATCTCATTATCGCTGCATTTTGGGCTGGAGCAGCATGCCAACTATTGACTTGCGTCTCCTCCCCCCCTCCCCCCCTCCCCCCCTCCCCCATCCCCCTATCAGAATATTTAAGGGAATAACTTGCATTTGTCAGGCTGTGCGTTGGAACACTGTGAGGTGTGTATGCAATATGGAGGCCCGAAGTAGAGGGAAGGCTGATGTGTGGGGCACCATGCCCTAACGTGTGGGCCTCATCATGGCCGCATCCGTTCCAAACTTGCCGCTAATTCTTGCGGACTGAAGCAATGACAAGGTGAAGAATATTTCCATCGTTTAATTACAGGAATGATTTAAATGAATACTACGACGAGAGGCGATAATCAGTCCGGGCGACCACAGGGAGCTCGCGTGACGTTTGTGTGTGTGCGCGCGTGGAGACAGAAAGCCGGAGAACAGTGACCTCGGCGAAGACTGATTTAATTGCTCATATTAGATATGCTTCCTCTTTAATTGCACTCTATTTTTATTTTCTCAGACTAGTCTGTCATTGATATGAACGAAAAACACCATGGTGACTAAAAATACAGGCTGAATGAGCAGACGGTCAACAGACACTCTTTGTGCTCCTTTGCAGGTGCATTCACTGGCCCGCCCAATAAACTTGACAGTACTCTTTGAGTAATCTTAAATCTAAAACATGAAACTATTTGTCTGACTGCAATAAATTCATGATTTACATCATGTCATAATGCGGTGATTGCTTCTCATTAGTCTTTGTTTTGACTGGTGTTTGGCCTGAAGTCACCTCTCCACTGTGCTCCTGTTCAAACGGACTTGACTGTATTTCCATTTAACAATAACTCTTTGGACACTGCTGTTGTTCTGAATAATCTCTGGTGCCATTTGTGGAGGCCAGATGTCAGTCAGGTGTCAAAGGGAACGCGTATTGCCCGTGTAATAATGTAGGTCTACACCTTAAATTAAAGAAATGTCAGAAACCACTTATCCTGACGACCAAACTGTTCTGCACCTCTAAACGAACCCAGCTGTATTTCTGTCTACAATGTACCCTAATGAGCACCGTGCATCTGCACGCACCCGCGGCTCAAAGACTAGAGGACGTTGGACAAAGTGGGTGTTGCGGGGGCGCGCACGTGGTGCATGCTCTCCGTTATAGTGGAGCGGCTGGTAATAAGTGAATGACCTTATCGTGGCGGTGTAATGCCTCATCGGTGAGGGATTGGGGGTTTGGAGATAATAAAGCTTGACTTCTCCTGTCTCTCGCCACTCAGTCGCTGACGCATGGGGACGCCGGCCTGATCCCGCACTCTCCCTGCATGCTCCACGGCCGGCGGATGGACACCTGTAGCTGGGTGGTATCCTACAAACTGTTTGCTCGGATCCATGTGGAGCTCATTATTTCCATCCTGAAGATCAGTGCGGTGCCATGATTTCGGTTTGGTGAACTTTTTCTGCTCAAAGGGGATCTGTAGCTAGAACCCACTGCTGGAGTTCAGGTTCTGCTTAACTTGCTGAGAAAGGTGAGTGAGCTGGAGACAAGTAATGTTACTTGGCATTTTTGCTGAAAGGCTGAAATTAATTTAAATTTCGAGTGCAATTTGAAAAATAGCGTATGTGTGAGTGAACACTGGGAGTTATGGAAGAGCAGGTTAATTGTTCCTGTGGTGCTGCTGGGAGACCTTCCTTCTGTGTGCACAATGCCTGGTGGCACGTCAAAACGCTGATTAGCGAAGCAGCGTGCAGCAGGAGCCGCTGCGTTAGGTGACCAGTAGGATTAGATGGTCGCTGCGCCGCGGAGGGGAAGCATCTCGTCGTCCTGTCATTCGCTGCCTGCACCTCTCTGCACATGCAGCTCTAGTCATAGATAAACGTGCTCTCTCACACACGCCGTGTGACGCCCGACGGCAGCGAACATCTCGCTCTAGCTCCTCCGCCTGCGTTTTGTTGGCCGGTGTTCCCCCCTTCTTTTCATTCCTCTCTGGTTGCCGTGGTGGATTGTTCCCCTTTAACAAAGCCCGATCCCAGCCTGCCTGCAGACAGCTGCTCTCTGGACCAGGCGGCTCCGGGTTGCATGGTGGTGCTTCGGCTGCTTCAGCGGTTCAACAAATGCAGAAAAGGGAGAAAAGTTTCGGTAAGATGCTTACTTTGCGCTTTGGCTTGTATGAACGGCACGGTGTGTGTGTTTAGTGTGCTCTGCGACGACAAGTTACAGCATCTCTGCGTCGATGGCGACCAGATCTGACCTGCTGCTGCTCTTACCTGATCCATTATTCCACCCGTTAACCTGATAACCTTTCACTAATACATTAAAGACATAAGCTTTAACGTTATGTTAGCGACCACACAGCTGCTGTGGGTGCATAACGGCTCCAGTCTCTGTGCCTGTGAAAGCTGCATGGCAAATTGAGTCTCTGTATTAAATCAGTTATTGGCCTTTACCAGCACTCCGCTACCATGGCAACAGTAATTAAACTGATTTGGTGAAATGTCAGCATCGCGCTGCCGAACAGCTGGGACTGAAATAGCAGGCTATTCTCCGCTCCAGCCCTCCGTCATCCTCCATCCGCTCTGAGCTTAGATGATGATACATGTTGCGGGGGACGCGCAGCGGCAGCAGCCCAGAGAGAGAGAGGGAGAGAGAGGGAGATGGGGGGGGGGGGGGGGGGGGATAGAGGGAAAAGAGTGGAAATGAGGAAAGGGAGGATACGAGCCAGCGCGCAAACAAAACAGATATCATTAGGGCTCCGAGCAGCTGTGATTTCCTTTCCATTATTGAAAATGAAGCTTTTGTTCAGCCCACCCTCCCCCCAGTTGATTGCACAGTAAAAGGGGAGTCGAAACTCTTACCTCTTTTGGCTTGGTAATGAGTACCGGGCACTTTGTAGTGTTAACGAGGCTGGATGGATCAGTGCAGCGGAAAGCAGCCGCGCGCCCCGCTCTCTAAATCCAGCCAATTAACAAACCAACAGCCCCAACGCACGAGCTGAGCTGCCCACCGCAACTTGTTTGATACTGTCTCTGCAAACGAGTTCTTACTGAAAATGTATTCGGTTATATAGACTGTATTTCAGTCTGTGTTGTGACAAATGTTTGAGTTAAAGGATCGTACCAGTGTGCATGTGTTAAAACCCATTTAATACAGCTCATGTATTTTCCTCACTGTTACTGAAACTTAGATTATTCCTAACGTGAGAGTTTATTACCAGTTTATTAATTTACAACATGAATTTGTAACCTGCAGAAACGTAAATCCTTCTTGAGGTTGTTATTCTGTCCCGGTGAACATCAGGTTCGAGTTCGTGTTGTTTGGTCTGTTCAGATCAGTCTGTGCTTACAACTGCATTCACACATAGCAATAATAATAGGTGAATGTGATCAGAGCCTTCTAGCAAAAGAGAGGCTTCTCAGTGAAGCTCCCCTGAATAAATAAAAGTAAAAAATAAATTTAAAAAAAGTGCTGCTGAGATGGATCAGCGGTAAAGTTTCTGCAGTTAAGTTCAGTGAAATGAAACCACTGCCTTCCAGGAAGGAAGAAAAAAAAAACATCCAAAAAAGTAAAACACTGCAACACCATTCTCCAAATGGTCAGCTATGATTAGATTAGCAGCTAACGGGCTAAACATCAAACACTGTTCTGGAAAGGCTGCAGACTGAGAAGGATCAGTAGCCTAAATGAATTTGCCTACTAACATTTTTGATGTAAAATGGTTAAAAAAAAGTTTCAGTAGCCTATTTAAAAATGACAAAAGCTACAACTATAACTTAAGAATTACTGAGCGTGTGTGTGTGCCTGCGTGTGGTGAATGGGGGACAAAGGGGAGTGGGGGTGTGCCTCTCCTCGGGGAATGGTTGGAGAATACTAATTCCAGCCTGGTGCGAGGCCACATTGTCCCCCTCTTCTCTCCACCAGTGGGCCAACAAAGGCTTTCTCTAGTCAGCGCAGGCCAAACAATACGGCCCGCTGCAAAGCCCCTCGCCTGTAGCCACGCCCCTTTAAGCACAGAGGAGGTCAACGAAAAAAAAAATGTCCAGGAAGAAACGTGAAACTGTGGCTTTGTGTCTTTGTGGGCAGCTTGTTGGGCTCACAACATTTAAACAGTGACTGCTGTTACTGTTGTCTGCTGATCACTGAACAGCCTGCTTTCTCTTCTTCTTCTTTGTCACAATCAGCCTATTGCTGTTAAATGAACTATTGCTTAAATGTTACTTTAAATGGTTACTGTAACATTAATATTTATTGGGGTTATTTCCCATAACAGTACTATTGCTGTATGTTTTCTTCATTTAACAATAGCATTACCGTCACATCTGCTTTCGTTTTTATTATTTAAATATGACAACATATAGGTCAAACATTTTTGTTAAGGCCAGATCGATGCAGAGCTCTCTCTCCTCAAACTATTTATCCATACAAAGTAGCATGCAATTAGTGTGTTTTGTTTCTTTACAGACCAAAGACTACATTCTCCTTTCTGAGTAACGTGCTAAACTGTGAAATCCGCTGTTTCAGTCTTTGTATTTCCATCACCATTAAACACCTAGTGATTTCTAGTGTGCATACTGACATTTTCTTGCTACACTTCATTTTGTTACATTACATCACAAGTGTGAGCACAGTACAAACTCACAACCACCTCCAACAGCCAAAATGTTTTAAAAAGTAGTTTTTGAGTTTGTTTCCTAAGCTGTCTCATTACTTACACATTTGTTTTTTAGAACGGCCTACTGACATTTTGAGTACACCTAATTTTGTCCCTTTTCCAGTGTGAACCCTCTACATACTCAAAACATTCAGAGCATGTGTAGTCTGGAATTGGGAGACAGCTCTGCATACTCATGGTCATTAATGTATCATGGTTTGAGACCCTCAGTTAAGATTTTAATCCATATTTTTGTACCAATTTATTTTCACTCTTAACATGCTGAAAATGCCTACAAAGATTGAATAATACCTAATTTGCATTTGGTTAAATTCTCAATTTAGAAATATAGGAAGTTTATTTTCACTTGTGTCTTATTTCATGTGAGTGTTATTTAAATTTTTTGTTAAATACACAAATACTGTGCTTATTCCACCACTACTGATTAAAGATGGAGGAGTGCAATGAAAACAAGTGAGAAACTGTATTTTGCTGTCCTTGACAATGAAGCTGATGTGTAGGCCTATCTGCCCATTTATCCATCATTTCAGTTTTCTAGTCAGCCAAACAGAACGTTTTCTTCCTCCTCAGTCAGTGTGCCTGTGTTCAATGAGTGTTTGAAGCCTCTCTCTCTGCTTCTCCCAGGTATACAAATGCTCTCCGTCCAGCCGGACACCAAGCCGAAAGGCTGTGCCGGCTGCAACCGGAAGATCAAGGACCGCTACCTGCTGAAGGCCCTCGATAAGTACTGGCATGAAGACTGCCTCAAGTGTGCCTGCTGTGACTGCCGGTTGGGCGAGGTGGGCTCCACGCTCTACACCAAAGCCAACCTCATCCTGTGCCGAAGAGACTACCTACGGTAAGACAGCCGACATCTTCATAGCGTCTGTGTGACGCTCTACAAACCAGGCTGGTCACAGTGTGTACAGGGGTGAAATCCACTTTACACACATTAAAAGCTCCCTTTTATTTTGTGGAATGGCACACAGTGTGATTTATTTTTAACAAGAAGGATTTCATTTGGTTTTGGCCTGGGACCTTATTTAAGGCCTCTGATTTTGCCACAACCCAGCAATCAGAAAGTGAGAAATTTAAGATGTAAATTATGGTATAGAATTAGTTTACTATTTCCAGTTTTTAATTAGTTACATTTGTGTACATTTTGTTGTTATCTTTTCATTCTTGTTTTTTTTTGTTTAATTAGCAAAAATCACTGTAACTGTCTGTGGAGTCTCATGGAACACCATTTCCATAAATTGCATTTTTGTACTGTTTCCATTTATCTGCCTTCAAAAATCTCTAATTAGCTTCAAACACGGTTGTTATGGCACCCTTTTTCAGGACCACCAGGGCTGTTTGAAAATGAAGAAACATTTGTTGTAAATAGCATAGGTTTGTTTTGAAAAATCCAACTATGTACTTAAAACAGTATTAGTGTAAGTAATAATACTTTTACTAATAAAAAAGGCAAAAATTGATCATCTGAAAATCTGAACATTTACCCACTTTCCTCAGTTTTCATTCCAGTCAAGCCATGCCATGTGTCAGGGGTCACATCAAGAATGTGATTGATTCTCAAAAGAAAGCACCACAAGCAATAAATAACATAGGGAACTCTTTCAATTTACAGTAGCGAAAACAAACTCTTTTTAGCCTCTTTCCTGTTTCAGGAGACCAAACTTGATGTTCCACTAGCAAAATGCAAGGAGTCGTCATCAAGATAACTCCCACACACAGGAACAGCACTTTGGCCAGTTAATTGATTTTGCATAACCCTTTGTTACAGTGACTAGAATATCATCATTTTATTGGGCCTGATAGGATTAATTAATTATTGGCAAAGTATTATGTTTTTAGGTTTTGTCCATCCATCCCTCCGTCCCATTCTCGTAAACGTAGTATCTCAGGAACGCCGTGAGGGAATGTCTTTAAATTTGGCACGTTTGAAACATCCATTTGTACTCAGGGATGAACTGATTAGAATTTGGTAGTCAAAGGTCATTTCATTCAGTCTGAATAAAATGAGACCTGCCTGTCTACCTGCCTGTCTATGCGCACTCTGCCCATGCACTCACTGTGCATGAACATGTTTGGTCGAGTGGCTTTTTAGGGAGGCTTGAAGGGAGGGGGTGGGATTTTTTCAGTTGGACACTTTAAAATCTAGCTGTCTCTTGCTAGTCCTCCAGTGTTGCCTATACCCCAACTTTAAATCAACTGAGTTAGAGCTTTTGCATTTTACCTTTGTTTTACCTACACTGAATTGATATTACTTGCTGGAATAGAGTTCACTCACTTAGTGATTGCCTGGAACAGAATGTATACATTAAACATCCTGTTTATTTGCAGGAGTACAGTGTGTTTTATAGACCGGCATTACGGTTTATCACTGTCATTATCAGTTAGCAAGTTGATATTAAAGTAAATGTTTAGATCCTATATTGTACCGTGATCGTTAGTTTATTATCTAAACAAATTCTAAAGGGTAGCCTCACTTCTGTATATTAAATTACAAGATTAAAACTCATTTGATTGACAGGTCTTTTAATAGTAAATAGGTCATTTCATACCAACACTAAACTACTACTTTACTTTGCATCCGTAACTATTGTTTTCTAAAATTACCGTCATTCAACAAACCCCGATTTAGCTTTCATATCCTGTTTTTACTGACACTTATTTCTTAAACATTATCACAGAAATCATGTCTCCTCATTGACACGTCATTATTACATATTTTTGAAAGCACAATAAGTTGTTGTTTTTTTAAACAAAGCTGGTTAAGATTATTTTCTGTCTATAAGTACAAGATCACTTTTCTCCTCAGAGCTGCCAGTGTTGTGGTGGTCACACTGAGGACTGCTGAGAGACAAATAGCTGTTGGCTATTGCTTGCATAAAGTTGTTTACATAAGAAATTCATTTTTAGTTTATGTAGGTGTTGAGAATTAGGGTATAAATGATGTCTTTATTTATAAAGATTTATATTATTTATATTATTAATTGTAACTATTATTTTGTAATTCCTAATATAGTTTAACAAAGTGTTAAAGTTACCATAATTAAATTAATAACTATAACCAAAGAGGTTAGATAGAAGAGGTTGGAGAAATATTATTATGCAACATAAAAGAAAGCAGCATGTATATACACAGGCATTTATTTAGAAGATAAACTAAAGGACACAAGATGAAACCTAACTGAAATGCACTAAACTAAGGTGTGTGTGTGTGTGTGTGTGTGTGCGCCTAAAAGAACATGCATCAGTTTCTGTGATCTGCACTGTATGTTCAGCATCCACAAGCATGAACACATGTGTAGCAGACAAAGAACGCACATGAAGCGGCAGCTTTAAAGGTCCTTCTCTGCGGGTGTGGTTGTGTTAAAGGCCAAATTAGAAGTATGTGCATGTCATCCGTGTTGGATAATAGTGCCAAGTTAAAAGGGGTTAGATGCAAGAGCTCGGTCTGTGTGGAGCATAACATTACTTACATTAACATTGGCTGAGGACAGTTACAATAATAACATCATGTTTACTATGAAATGATCACAATGATAAAACTCAGTGAAAAACACATCAGTATAGGCTATGTGGACTGATCAAAAGCTAAACAGTCCTGTGCTTAGTCAAGTAATGGATCCCTGTCAAGCTACGTGAAGCTATGCACAAGTACGTTACTAGTCCATAAAGGAAGAAACGTTTCTTTGGCATGCTAGTTGTTAGCTGGATTATCAACCTACTCACTGACTTGACTCCAACTCTCACACTAGCTGAGCATGCAGTCAGGTGTTGATGGACCATTTGAAACACTTTTCAAGTATTGGCCTCAATCTACTGGTTTTGATGCACATTTTCACACAGAAAAACATCACAAAACATGAAAACAAATCTAGTAATGTGACAGCAGCTGGAGCTCTGGGTAGTGAGGGTCATCCATTAATCAGAAGGTTGGTGTTTTGATACCTGGCTACCCCTGTCCACATGTTAAATTGTCCTTGAGCAAAACACAGAAACCCAAATTGCTCCCAGTGTGTGTATGTTAGGGGGAAAATGTAAGTTCCCCAAGGATAAAGTGTCTACCAAAAACTATATTGGGTGGAAAGCAAAAAAAAGAAAAGCTGATGAAAGCATGATGTGCCACAGTAACAGGTGCTCTCTTAATGATGCATGGATGAATTACTGGATGGACCTACCAGGCACCGGCCCCCGGGCAGTTTGAAGTGACAAGAAGATCTATGTTGTTGAATATTGTTGAATAATAGTTCTGCATCTTCCCATTCCCAGTGCAATCTAATATTTATTCATATCCGGTTTAGTTCATTTTTTCCACACAGCTCACTGTGCATACTTTGGCTACAGTAAGCCTATGATAAAATTAGTAAAGCACCTTAAATGTTTGACTGCAGAGTAACTTTGCTTTAAGATTTCCTTTTGTGGTTTATGATAATGTTTGAGGTATAGAGTCCTATAATATTTTTAGATTATATTTAATTGTGTCAGTTTTCCTTTCCACAAGCCAAACATCAAGGGGGTTACATTAAATTCCTTCCCAGGACTTTTTGGCCTGTACAGAAGCTTCATGTGTTTAATGTTTTGTTTGCAGCGTTCAGTTTAACTACTGTTTAGGGGAATTTGAAATCTTACTGATGTGAATCATCCTAGTACGCTCTCGCTCTCTTTTTGTTCTTCACACTTGTAGACAGACCAAATATTTACCTAGTTCCAGTGATCATCTTAAAACTACTGTTTCTCCATCACCGTGAACACACACTGTAGTTTATTTTGACTCAGTCCCACGTACACTGTCCTGCTGGCCCAAATACTCACAGAGCACCACATGTGGATTAAACCACCATTGGAAATAGTCCCTAAAAATGCACTATTTCCTCCTGTTTGAGTAACAAAATACAGAATGGGGCCAGACTTATCCTTTAGTGCAGTCCATGGATATGATAGGTTAGTGTCTTATTGTGATGTCCACTGAAAATTGTCCATCTAGTGGCTGGTGGCTGCTGTGTAGCAGACCTTGAGAGCAAAAGCTGTGTGTGTCATCAGTGAATCAGTTCATGTGGACATTGTTTACTCAACACCAATGCATACAGTAGTAGCCGTGAGTCCGGGTGAGCATTTCTTAACAGGTGTGCAGGCTAAGAGGCAGACCAATTCCAACATGTTATTCTTTCATCTTCAAAGTTCAAGGTGACTGAATTGATTTGAAGCTCGCTATCACGCGAGTGGCCTGCCTGCGAATGCGCCCTGACATCTCCTCACTGCTGGCTAATGAATGGCAAATATAGCAAACCGCAGCACTCCACATCTGATCTGCAGAGCAACAAAGAAAGTCAGGCTCCATCACTGAGGCAATCAATGGCTGCAAGATCACAAAGCAAAACAATTTACACCCACATACACACACACACACGCTCCCTTAATCAAAAAGCAACCTCAAATATATTATTTCTACTTATGTTTATCTCAGTCTGTCAGCCCAGGTTGAAAAATAAGATGACTTCACATTTAGTCCATTTTTATATTCCATTGGCTTTAAAAATAAATGATTTGGGCCTTCATTATACACCTCCACCTCCTTCTCCAAGTCAATCATTTTCTGCTTAGCAGGGTGGCATGTTATTAGGCCTGACATAACCAGGGTTAATAGAATTCTTCAGGGGAATACAACCATGAGCGATATGGCCACCACCAGAGAAATAATAATCTATCGCAACACTTGCACACAAAAAACTGAAGGAAAAAAACAAATACGGGGAGAAAAAACTTCCCTGTGTGATCAAATATGATGTACAGAAAGGAATTTGTGTGTGTGTGTGTAACCAAGCAATCCCATCATAAACCTGCGCCTGC